AGACAAGAGGAAAACTCAGGCACAGCTCAATTACTACTGTTCTCCTCATTGTTGAAAGGGAGAAAACAAAACAAAAAAGCAAATAAAACAACCCCAAATGCACAAAGACCTGGGCGTGACACCAATCCAGCATAAATTAAATATGGCAATAATTTAATACATAAATTAAATAATTGCAATTGTGAAGTGAGATCTGCTTGAAGATACTACTGAGCATTGATTAATACGGTAGAATTACAGGCAAACTCAGCTGAAATGGTATGAAGGAAGATGTGTTTCATAGCTAGCACTGCAAATGTCTCTACACTCACTTAAAAGAAGCAGAATTGCTGTCCATACACTCTCTGGCCTTGGAGCGTTGCTGCTTCACCCCGGTTCGTTATTTTTTCAATGACTGTATCAATGTATTTAATAAATAAATATTTCCTCAAAGCATCGCCCTGGTTACTTCTGAAGTTTCAAGGAGAAAAAATGAAAAAAAGTGTTTGAACAAACCTGGAGCAAAAGGCAACACTAAAAATGTAGGACATCACTACCCTATGCTACTAGTCTATAGAAAGGTTAATCTCCCGTGATTATATGGAACAGTCAACATAGACATCACTTGGTGTAAACAACTGACATCTACATGAAATGTGCAGTTCCCAATTGGTAGCACGAAACTGTGTTTTACTCTGGGAAGTAAATTCAACTTAAGATGTTCCTATATGCTCAAACATTCATTTGCAAAATGTTTACCATAACATAGTAAATATTTAGGTTTTACTTTTGTGGAGAAATTGAACAACAATAGAAGCAGGAGTAAGTGGCCGAGACAACTACAAGCCTATTAGGACTTACCTTTTCCTCTGCACCAGTAATTTTCGTGCTCTCAGCCTTTCCCAACCCCTCCTCGCCTCTCCCAACACACAGACCTCTCTGAGCCCAGGTACGGGCACAGCCGGGGGGGCTGCAGCGGGGGCGGGAGGGCAGGGACCTGCCGGGGGGCTGATAAAGGCCGCCGCGCTGCCCGTCCCCCGCCCTCCTCCACCTCGCCCAGCGACAGCAACTCGGTAGATGGGATGTGTCCCCTGGGAGGGGGATGGAATCACGGACTCCGTGCACAAACCCAAC